TAGACATAACATGGCATCTCAGTCCATTTCCCATCACAGTAACGTAGCTTCATTGTATATTTTCTATGAATAATTTTGTGGCAATTTTTCTGATGAACTTTTTCTATGGTAACTAGACATTATGAATTTAAGCGCAATACTGGATTGGCGGCAAGGTCTCATCAATTTACATTGGAAATGGCTAAATGTGACTCTAAGTTTTACGCTAAACAGTTTCTTCTTTTCGCACTACTTGCTTGTGGAACTCTCTTCCGACTTCTTTTGATTCCGAGTCAACTTTGATCTTCACAACTTCTAATGCAATGTCACTCGCTATCTTCTGGCTTCTTAATTGGGGTTCTTTTATTGTCCTACCTCCTTAATAGTAGGTTTTCTCATATTCTCGAACACTCAGTAACCCCTTTGCGTCTTAGTGGCTTTAATACCCTGCTTGGGGGAAAATTCAAATGCAATGTCAGTCGTTATCTTCTGTCGTCTTAATCATTGTACTTTTATTGTTCTCTTACTTTAATAGTAGCTTTTCTCATATACTCTCACAGTCAGTAAGCCCTTTGCGTCTTAGTGGCTTTATTGCCTTTGCTTGGGGATGAAATGATGAAAAAGAGAATTAGAAACAAACAAGAAATACTGATCACATATGCACCCAAATTAAAAAAACAATCGCTACTGCGCATGTCTGTTGTCAAACACATTCAGAATTTTATTTTCATGTGCTTCTGTAATTGGCTAAGTATATTTGCTACTAACACTTTTTCAACACTGTCGAATACAAATGGTAGCATATGACAAATATTGCTTATTGTCGTCAAATTCTACTGTGCCTGAATTGATCAAAAATGCTATTGCCGCCAGTATTAAATCGAAAAAAAACCATCAAATATACCAACACCGCCATTATTCTGAATGTTGTCATCAAACGTCCATTACGAAGAAGACAACTTTCGCTGTCGATTCTCTTATCTTTATTTCCGTTAATCGCTAGCGTTAATATCAATGTTGTCCTGATCACGAATGTATATGATGATTATCGCTGGAAAATGTGTGACAAGTAAAACACATAAAAACAGATGTTTACGTGCCACTTGATGAAACGGGTGGGATTTATTTAACAAAACCCAAAAATACGGATTTATAATTAGGATTGAATTTTTTTTTAAAAATACGCCAAAATTTCAATTCGCTTAAATAATTGTTCATATAAAGAGAAAAACCAAATGGCCAGCCTTGGTTCAAGTTCACCGTAAACAATACTTCAATATCTATCACAGGAAACAATATAATAGGAACCTTTCAACATTCAGAACAGCCAACAATTATTGCAAAAAAAAATCCCTCTAGTGATTACATATATAACGAGTAGGATTTATTAAACAAATATGTCAAACCTTTCATTCCCTCTAATGATTACATATATAACGAGTAGGATTTATTAAACAAATATGTTAAACCTTTCATTCCCTCAAATGATTACATATAAATCGATTATTAAACAAATATGTCTAATCTTTACTTTCCTTTAATGATTACATTTAAAACGATTTTTAAACAAATAGTTTATTCCGTCTATATACATACGTATACATATATACGAAGTAGGATTTATAGATTAAATACATGTCATCTTTCTTTCTAGCTAATGGTTAAACATGTAGTGCACAGTAAATTTTGCGTCTGAAGAGAATAATTTTGAAACCATATTCATGGTGATATTTTCACACCAATTGTGTATCAATAAAAATTATAGGAAAATCTTGTTAAAACGTCGTAATTATAAATTATAGGGAAATAAATGGTCTATATAGAACCAATGGTCAAAGATCAATAAAACAAGCATTACAACTCGAAATTCTTTCTCTGCAATTTCGAAAATTAGGTCTTCTTTCATAAAAACAGTAATTTTAACCTTAAATATAAATAGAATAGAATTATTTGTGCTAATATATAAGTCATTAACAAATACGATATATAGAAATCGATGTATACAACGACTTATCTTAAAAATATAAACAAATGTGTATAAAAAGCTTATAAATCTATTTAATTAGTAAATATTAAACAATATAAATGCATAATAATATAAATATTATAATGTAATAAGTAAAAGGGAAAAATATAAGAATGAATTAATAATTGATAATTAAAATATTCAAGACTTTAAAAAAAAATACAACATTGCTTTCTTTGAGCAATTAAAAACCCACCCGTTTACTTCCACATCCGCGTTTCATGGAAGCACGTTACAGGTAAAAGTTTCGTCCAGTTAATGATGTTTCTGTCATATGTAAAGATTGGCGGGGGGGGGGGGTATTACTAACATCATTTTATTTGGTTTCTTGTAAATAGTTTTGTTTCATATTGTAAATACTCATTGGGGCTAGTTTTTAAATTGTTGTTTTATTCCCCCCACCAGAGAAAATGAATTGTACATATGGGGACTAGTTAGGACTTTCATAGAGACATTGTGGTATTATGGTGACTGTAGTAAGAAAGGTAAGTAAAAATGCGTTGTTTTGGTTTTAAGAATATTGTCGTACGTTTGGGTCAGTGTTTGTGGCTGGCTAAATTTAAATTTAAGACAGATCTCCCTTTTCCGTATTCCCCATTTAGCCATGTGCCACAATTTGTAAATAATTACAAATAAATATCACTCTTCGCTATGGTATCTAGACTTTATGAATTTAAGCGCAGTACTAGATTTGCAGCAAGGTCTCATCAATGTATAATTAAATTGGCTAAATGTAACCGTAAGTTCTATGCTGACAGTTTCTTCTCTCGTACTTCTCGCTTCCAGCTCCATCCTTTCCAGCCAACTTTGATCTTCGAAGATGTAAATTCAGTGTCAATCGTAATCCACCTGATTACCCTTCTATTGTTCTCGCTCCTGAAAACTGTGTCTCTTTTTTCTTTTTCTTTCACACTCAGTAACCCCTTGTGTCTTAGTGTCTTTACTACCTTGCGTGGTGTAAAATGATTAAAAATATCTTAATGCAAATTGTAAAAGTGAATTGCATAGACATTTTATATATAAAATTTCAAGATAATTTTAAAACTGTCAGTGCTGGTTCTTGAGTTGCTTTAGGAGAATGAAACAAACATTTTTTTTTTCATAAATACATTTGACGATATTTCGTTTTTATTGAAATGATGCAATTCAGAAACTAATACGATTTTTGTTAAAAAATTCTTGCCAGTTTTCAATTTAGCAACACCTAATATTATAAAACAGGGGTATTTTTAAGTTACTGCAATCTATTTCTTACCAAAATTGTCCATATGTTATGAACAATAAAAAGCTGTATTAGTAGATATTTCTTCTTCTGCAGGAAAATCTTTTCTTGTAACATCGCCAGCGAGAGAGAAAAGTGACATTTTAAAATCTTTAGAGAGCATAGACTAAAATTTTTTTAAGAAACGAGGAAAAGAGTACAGAAATGTTATTTAATATAAGTCCTCCTATATGGCAGTGAAAGCTGGACATTCTCCTCACAGATGAAGAAGAGACTTGAAGCAACAGAAACAAAGAAAAGAGTACTGAACTCTTACGTAATATCAGTCCTCCGATATGGCAGTGAAGGCTGGACAATCTCCTCACAAATGAAGAAGAGACTTGAAGCAACAGAAACAAAGAAAGGAGTACTGAACTGTTACGTAATATCAGTCCTCCTATATGGCAGTGAATACTGGACAATCTCCTCACAGAAAAAGTAGGCGTAGCTGACCACATATGGAGGGAAATTGGGATCACCGCTGCCTGTGCGATGAGGTTGAAATAAAAACTGAGAGCATCACTAGAAAATACGAAAACTTAAGAAAACAGCACATATGCTAGGCCACAGGAATCTCCTGAGCCGACCAAGCATAGAAATGAATACATTATGGGAACCAGTAATAAACAGTGCTAGAGAAAAGCAACGAATAACCAGAAAATTGCAATATAAGCTCTGATAAAATATGAAATAATAATAACAAAAAATTGCAATATTAGCACTGGTAAAAAATTGTTGCTGAGACATTAGGCTTATAAGTCCCATAAATTCATTCAATGATGTCCTCAACGACACATGGCCCAGTGCATAAAGACGTTGGTTAGATTCAGTGACTCTACCCAAATGTTGTTGGTTCAATGTGAGTAGTCAAGCAAAGAACTTGCAGAGTTGAGTTAAAGGGAAATAACTGAGACATTCAGAAGAGGCACGGCACGTGGAGCTAGAACAATCTACCTCGGTGGATGAAATAAATGGTTCGGTTCGAAATTCCAATCACCTGAAGAAGGCAGGAGCGTACAACGGCTGAAACGTTGTGAATATTGCAATGAATACGAGAATAACACTTCGAATAATGTAAATAATCAAAATACCTCATCTCAGAGATATAGACAGATATACTACCTTTTTTTTTTAATATTTATGAATTGGAGTGATTTTGCAATGACTATTGTACGACTCTACTGAAATAAGTTGTATATTTTTTCTATTTACAAAGAATGTTCAAATTAAAATTCAACATAATTTTGAAAAAAACTTTAAGAACAAAAACTATTCATAAAAATAAATTTTATAACAAACATGTTCATTGTTTTAGTGAAAAATATTAACTTTATGTAACAAAATTCTTTAAATACTTCGTTGTAAAATATTCAATTTACTGACATTAATTCTGACAATAGCTTTTAAATAATTAACATTTTTCGTTAATTTATCAAGTAATATTTTTCTTGTATTTACTTTTATTGGTTCGTTTTTTACGGCTTATCAACCCTTTGCAGGTTATTTAATACCAGAAAATATTTTTACATTGTAAGATTTTTTTTTTTTGAAATAATAATAATTTAGTGTCACAAGTCTTACTAATAGCTGGGGAAGAAAAGGTGGATTCCTACCTTTCCCAGGTGCATTTGCTTATAATTGAATATAATGAAACCAACTGAAATTGAACCTCGGTTATCCGATTAATAATTACGAACCATTATCCTTTATACCATACGCACATCCAAGACTTAGAGCTCCTGGTATTCCCAAGCGGTCTCCCATCTAGATACTGACCAGGCTCTGCGTTGCTTAACTTCGGTGATCGTACAGAGAGCCCGTCTTGTATTTGGAATGGGCAATAAAATACATCATACCTTTTTTTTTTAAATACCTGTAAGAAAGAAAAACTATTCATTTTTTTATTCATAAAAAAACATATTTAACGCATAAAAACCATATTTTATAATCAATATGTTTATTGTTATGAAAATAATATGAGGAATACATTAACTCTGTGATAAAATTCTTAATGACAATTTTTGTCAATTTCACATAAGAAAATTGTTCATTTTTTGTTTTTATTCAAAATAAATTTAAAATACTTCAAGTTAAAATAAAATAAATGAACTTCATACTTACTTCAGCCGCTAAAATAATAAATCCAAGGTAAAAAAAAAAAAATTCATTTTCAAACGAGTAATTAGTTTGTAATTTAGGTCTCTATATATATATCCGCCCCTAGTCGCAGACCCCAGTTTCACGGCTACCAGGCCTGTTATAAATGACTTCTTTAGTGTAATAAAACGTAATGTTAAATATGAAAGATTCAAGCTTTGTGTTAACGTTTAAACAAACTAGGTTGGTAGAGTGGTAAAGTTTTTCACTGTCTATAAAATGATCTCAAGGCATTCTTCTGAAATAGTTCCCCACAGCTGAATCCAGTTCCAAGCCCCTGAAGGATAGATAGAGCACATCAGCCCCAAAAAGGCAGTCCATCGATAGGAAAAAAAACATTAATTTTAAATCCCCACTACTTTGCGGCAATATCCAAGCATGGAAAATGTTCTGAATGTAAATTGGAACCATGTGGTATGGGCAACGCAACGCCCCCATATTCTATCGTCCAGGCCTGCACCCTGGAGAGATTATTCCAGTTTCATCACCAAAGAAGTGAACTTTGACCAAACAAGGCACTACCATTGTCTTACGAGTTAAACGGATTTCTACTACGTTTGAATATTGGTCAGCGTTTTCTATTATATGAATGATGTTTTAGTGATACGAAACGTAAATATTGCAAGAAGACATATTGAAAATTGAAAGCGTAAAAGAAAAAAGTGTGTGATTCTTTTTAAATTGCAAGCTCTTAGTTATTATCAAGGAGGATTGTCGGTAAATCTAAAAGAAGTAAGAATAAAAGAAATTTACCAATGAAAACAAAGTGTTTGAAAATGAATCCTTTTCTGTTCATCACATTAAGAAAATAAACGAAATGAACAGATAGTAAGCTAACTTATGTAATATAAGATAGTTTTAGCGAATTGAGAAAAGCTTTTTCTTAGAAAGAATCAGTTGGCATCAAGAAATAAAAAGCGAATTTCAAATATAAACGCGAATATACAATAGGGGTGATAAGTTTTTGAACCGTGTTATTGCACTCAATTTGAAAGGTTTTACATAATAAATAAGGACACAGTTTTTTTTTTTTTTCAAAATCATTACCATTTTTTGAGAAAATGAGTTTAGATATTAAGTTTGGGTTGAAGCGTTGGAATTTTATTCCGGTGATCAGGAATGCCTTATATCACAGCCTTTTAAAATTTATAATTTACTCAAGCTTTACAAATTGTATATGGGCAAGATGCTTGACACAAACACATTATTACTAAATCATTGTGCCATTAAATAAGACATTCATTTACTTCAAAGGGAAATTATACTGAACAATTTAATTATATTATGATGTAATATGTTATACAATGCAGTAGTTTTAGTGGGGATTTATAATAAACAATGCAAATTTAAAACATTTTGTCTTATAATTTGTGACCAGTAGTATTAAAGTATTTTTATTAATATGACCTAACAAATGATGTAAGATCTTATTCATTGAGTAGCCTTTATTGTAAGCTTTTACCATTTCTTCCATTATTTTTACTCATCGAATACAGTAAAAAAAATGCATATTTTCTTTTGGTGATTGATAATTTGAATTCTGTTTTGAATATATTTTCATTTGATGTCTCTAATACAAAAGATATCAACTTGATTTAGATTTATTCTTGAAATAATAAAATTATGAAGTCAGTTTTAAGTAAAAAGCTGGGGAAATTACGTATTTTGGTACATTTTTTTGTGGGGGGCGATCTTTAAAACTAAATGATCAAAAATTGGAAAAAGCTATGAATTTAATTTTTCTTATCCGTACTTATAACATAAACTCCCAGATTGGACACTGAACTCAATAAATGCAATGAAAAATCAACTTACCTTAACATACGGTATTTACTCTGTCCCCTCCACGAGATGTGACACAAGGTCTATTTTTAGGTGGGAACCCGAGCTCGTACGCCCGGGACAGGAAGAAAAATTCCCCTCAGCACCCGCAACCGGATTGGAGGGCGCGGCCTCGGGCAGCTGTTCCCCAGGGCTGGGCACCTCTTCAGTATAATTTTCCTCAGTTGCCCCTCTGTCCTTTGACAGAGAAGCCCCTGAGCTCACTCTGTCCAAAGACAGAGACGCAACTGAGAGAAGATAAGTAGATGTGTACCTACTCAAAAAGAGTACGGTACACACTAACATACAATACATATACCGCATTTTCCTATGTATAATACAACCTGAACATAATACGGCCCTCTGTCTCTGAAACTAAAAACAGGGAGTAAATTAAATCCTTGAGTATATACGACCCCGTAGTATAACCAACACTAAATAATTAAAAAAAAGGTCTACGATATTGTCCATTAAAATCTCAATGTCGTATGTATAATTTACTAAAATAATTGATATTTCTCGATATTGACGAATAGAAACGAACCGGATGTTTAGCCATTACGTGTTTCTTACAACGATTTCCGTTTCAGAATTTATTTTCGAATTTTCGAGGAAAGGTGCTAACTAGAAAAAAAACCGGTAATACATTTTAACGTGTTAAATAATTTATGATAATTTCATGTTTGATATGATTTTATTATACTTCTATATATTTATAAACTATGAAAATCAAACCAAATATTGTGTTTTAGTAAGAATGAAGAGGGAACGCTTTATAAAAAGGAAGAAAATCAAAAAATAAAAAAACTTTATCTTGCAAATGAAACAATTATAATTTTAAACTTTACCATTGAAATGACGCCGACAAATCAAAAATTACTGTTTTAAATAAGAGTTTTTTTTTCAAGCTGAGTAAAAATTTCAGAAAATGTTTACTTGTGTATAATACGCACCCAACACTATTTGCCTTTTAGTTAAAAATTTGTATTATGCACGAGAAAATACAGTAATTTTGAAACAGTTTTTTTAAAAAAACGTTTTGTCACAGACAAGGTTGGCTCAAGGTACTGGCAACTCGGGCAGTCGCCTGGGGTGCCACCAAGGTCAAGGGTGCCATTATACCGCCAGGTCATCGGTTTGGGATCTTCCAACAAAAAGGAAAAATGCGAAAATAATAAATAAAACGAAATTAAAACATTTTTAATTACTTGAGTGCTGATAAATTTTGAAGAATTTTATTATTAACTCTTTCTGTTATTGTTTTGACGATCAATGAACCAAATCATAAAAATCAATGAGGAGGGGTTATTCTAGAATTTTAGTTTTTCGCCTTGTAAAAATTTTTAAAAACATTATACTAGTAAAGGCGCCAAAGTTCAGTTCTGGGCATTCTATCCAGTCGCTGACTTTTAAAACTTCCGGATATGGTAATTTTCTTAGCCTAGGTTAGATGCAATACAAGGCTGAAATTATGGGGCACCTAGTGAGGATCGAACGCACTATTCAGTCGTAATTGATCTAGCGAGGGAAGCTTAATAGCCACTACAAAACATCGAAGTACCCAATGTGGTTTTCCAAGCATAACTTAGATTTGGCAGAAGGCCGAATGTATGAGGCACCCAGCAATGATTTGCCAATCTGATTTTCTAAGCGTAGCTCATATCTGGCAAAAGATCTTACTTAAACTTATGCTTCAGCCACTGCGAGGTGCGTCTGAACTGGCACATAAAAGAAGAAACGACAGAATTTTTTTTATGAAAGAAAGAAAAACTTTTTTTATAAAGGTTCGCCAAAATGCTAACCCTTTACGCGGCAAAACACCGCCATTTTTTTTTTCGAGTTTTAGCCATTTTTCTCGCTAGTTCGATATACGCGTGCGTTTCCCAGTTTAAAGGAGATCGTGTGTCATATTGATTTCAAAATAAATACCACCCCCACATTTCTTATGTAGGTTCACAATTATTTTTATACTTACCACCGGGATGCACTTATCCCCCCACCCCCCAAGCTGTAAAGAAGAGTTAACCCCTGGCGTTTGAAGTGTCGCCGAGGGGGAAAATACCGAAAGATGTTATGACTCGTCTCATATTTATAACCATTTGACACATTGCCTGCAAGTGTGCATCCTAATAAAGTAGCATTTATTTAATATCAGTCTTAATTGTTGCGAGTTTCGACAGAACATACATACAATCACTGTGCTTTATATATCACACTCGCAGACTTCGCCAGCTCTCTATCGCTTCGCAAAGTAACATATATTGAAATCTTTGAAAGAAAAATTTTAAATAAATATTTCATTCATAAATTAGCTTGTTACAGTTAAGGAAAGTTTTACAAATAGATGCCAACTTATTGAAGGACAAGTAAAATGCAAATTTCAAACACTTCTCTGCACTATATAAGACGATATTCATAATCAGAACTATTTTTGATATGAAAATCAAAACAATCCTTGAATAAAAGAACACTAATGAAGGACAGTTAATTAATGAAATATACTTTTTTTAAAATCGATATGCAAATTAGTTAAACCTGAGGAGTGATATCACCTAGAAGTAGACAATATATAATACAGATATTGAGATTTTAGTGCGTAAATTACTATAAAGTAATTTCTACGTATTATTTATCATCTCTCAGTTGCGTCTCTCTCTTTGGGCCGAGTGCGCTTATGGGCTTCTCTGTCAAAAGACAGAGGCAACTAAGAAAATAATACTGAGAGGGCCTCAGTCCTGGGGAGCAGCTGCCCGAGGCCGCGCCCTCCCATTGCCCCAGAGGCAGGGATCGGTGCTAGCACCGAGGCCAGTGCAACCGACGGTTGCGGGGACTGAGGAGAATTTTTGTTCCTGTCCCGGGTGTACGCGCTCGGGACCACACCTAAAAATAGACCTTGTGTCAGATCTCGTCCTAGTGGGGGTACAGAGTAAATACCGTGTGTAAATTACTATAAAGTAGAGTTGGGACTTTTTAACCCCAGAATTCATTGGATAATTGTGTTCCAATTTCGCATTTATTCATATAGATTCCATAATATACGTTTTACTCATTTAGCTATTATGTTTCTCTAACTCTTCAAATGTTGAATGTATAACTAATTCTAATTTCTATTTTCCCATCTTTACACTATATTAATTTTATCTTATAAATTGTCCCTTTTCTGTCAACTATGAAATAAAAATAATTGTCTGTACAGAAAATAAAGATCTATGTACATCAAATCATCTTTAAATTAAGTGGCAGCAGAAGAATTATCATTGAACTTTTAAAGGTAAGATTAAACATTAATTCAATATTTAAATGCAGTGATCAATTTTGAGTTCTTCTGTAGTTTATTGATGCCTATCGCATCTAATCCTTCCTAGATATTGTGATGATGGTCAAAGCAAAATTCCTCTACAAGAATTAGTTTAAATGCTGCCCAATAGGGCGGCCTTTAAGCTACTTTATAAAATGTGTACTGCAATTGTGGATACAAAAGGAAAATAAGAGTTACCTACCTTGAACCATGGAAGCAACAATAATGGCTAGTATAATATATTAATATATATATTTAATCTTGCATAATCTGGCAACGCTGAACCTGAGCTCAACGAAAATCGTTCCCTGCGACTAACTTTTTTAGGGCTTTTGAATGAGGTATGAATCATTGAAATCGGACCAGTGGGAGCGGAGGAGTTTACTTGGAGACGCACACGCGCAAACACATATACATACACTGTACTTTATATATAAGATTAAGAATTTCTTTATAAAACACCCAGTGAGGATTGATCGAAATATTACCGGATGCTCTGATCAGCATGTCACATGTTGTAGAGAGAGAGAGAGAGAGAGAGTTAAAAAGGAATTACTGGAACAATTCATCATGTATTTACAAGAAATGCATCAACAGCTTTGAGCAAGAACCTTTTTACCAGCTAAGACCTAAGAAAAGGTCGACCTATTTTAAAAGCAAGCATTTATTTGAAAACGACTGTCGATTATTGGCGTCGAAAGCAATCACAGGACGATGTATAGGCGGGAATGACTAACATATAGAATGATTAACATACATACAAACACACGGTAATAAACTCATATAGCCATAAGAACAAGTTGAGATAGATGCAAAGAGAAAAAGATGGTACAATAGCCATCAAGAAATAAATAGATATGAAAAACGAGTAATATATAGTCAGTTCGATATATAAGAGACTGATATGCAAATACACGACATAATTTTCACACACACACACACACACACATATATATATATATATATATATATATATATATATATATATATATATATATATATATATATATATATATATATATACTCTACGCCCTGGTTTTTCAAAATCTTCATTCCTGAAAAAATTACTCTTTTCCCAAGACAACACATGACTATAAAAATGTTAAAAATTAAAAAGAAAAGTGTGTGTGTGTGTGTGTGTGTGTGTGTTATACATTAATTTGTCCCATACTAAGATAGATAGATAGATAGATAGATAGATGATAGATACATAGATAGATGAATAGATATGAACAGACTGAAATAGATGAATAGATAGATAGACAGACAGACATGGGACAGGTGAGATAGATGAATAGATAGATAGATAGATAGATAGATAGATAGATAGATAGATAGATAGATGTGGGGGAAGGTGGGATAGATAGATAGATGGATGGATAGATAGATAGATGGATGGATGGATGGATGGATGGACATTGAAGAGTGGGATAGATAGATAGATGGATGGATAGATGGATAGATAGATAGATGGATGGATAGATAGATAGATAGATGGATACGAGAAGGTGAGATAGATGGATGGATAGATGGATAGATAGATGGATAGATAGATAGATGAATAGAGAAGTTTCAGCCCAAAGCTAGTTCAACAGAGACAGTGGTACATTTTGATCTTAGCTGATTTTATAAGCACACGACTTTACCGATGTAATGAAATTGATAATATCAATCTAAATTTGAAAACTGACTATTACAATTCCTGGATGTCACACACAAAGCGCTAACTTATAAAATCATAATATTAAGATGAGTTGAAAAATTTTCCCCCCACATTCACCAAAATTTTGATTTGAATCCCAAACTGCTTTATGTTCTGTCTTGTCTTGAGTCTTCATGACTAAAGGCTTGTCACTGAAACAATATTGCGTAATGCAGATTATTGGGGAGGAGATGGGCATCGTCAAGTCACTGAAATGACACGGAAGACAAGATGTCAACTGGGTACAAATACGGTCATCAAAATATTTCACGGACGAACAGAGAAGATTTGTGATAATGACAAAATAGCCGCCGTAATGCCTGAAGTACAAGCCCATAAAATGAACATATTTAGCCAATCCCAAAATAAAAACGTAATTAAATAGACAAAGAAGCTGTTTAAAGCAAAAATGAACTAAAAAAAAAAAAGAAATCAACAAAATAAAATCATTAATAGGCCTGGACGCAAATAATTTAATGGCAAGTCAAGTTAATGAATTTTGCTTTCTAATAATTATGAAAACAATAAAAGGCGTGCCATCGTTAGACGACATTTTTAGCCGTGGCGGTGTAAGCATTGATTTCGTTGGCCTGTTGAGCGAAGAGATGTTTGGAGGAAAGTGCCAAGTGGCAGAAATAAAATCTTTCGTATTTAACTTTTCACCAGAAATATAATAACGAGGCTGGCTTCATTAATTTTGGTGTAATTGTTACGAAAATATACAGAATTGGTTTTTGATTACAACTCTTCAAATTGGACACCACACCGGCTGTTATACAATAGATAGATAGATAGATAGATAGATAGATAGATAGATAGATAGATAGATATGAACAGATTGACATTAGATAGATAGATAGATAGATAGATAGATAGATAGATAGATAGATAGATAGATATGAACAGATTGACATTAAATAGATAGATAGATAGATAGATAGATAGATAGATAGATAGATAGATAGATAGATAGATAGATATGAACAACTGAAATAGATAGGTTGATAGATCGATACATAGAAAATAGATACATAGATAATGAACAACTGAGATAGATAGATAGATAGATAGATAGATAGATAGATATGAACAGATTGACATTAGATAGATAGATAGATAGATATGAACAAGTGAGATAGATAGATAGATAGATAGATAGATAGATAGATAATGAAGAATTTGCAAAAGATAAACAGAAAAACCAAAAAATGTCGAAAGTGATGTTCTTCGTGAAACATTTTAACACCGAAATTTCCAAATTTCGATCCATTAATATTTAAATCTTGTCCATTAAGTGCAATGACAGTGATTTTCTCTCGTCTTTTTTTTTCTTTTTTTTTTTTTCCTCCTATTTTTGTTGTCTTCATTCTGTTGTTCTGCGAAGGGATTTGGGGCCAAATAACAGTCAATTATTTCAGCATTGCCTTTCCTTCTATCTTTAGCCATTCCCCATCCCTCCCTCTCTCCCCCTCCCCTCTCTCTCCCCTCCTCTCTCTCCCCCTCCCTCTCTCTCCCCATCTCTCTCTCTCCCCCTCCTCTCTCCCCATCTCTCTCTCCCCTCCCCTCTCCCCCTCCCCTCTCCCCTCCCCTCTCTCCCCCTCCCTCTCTCTCTCCCCATCTCTCTCTCTGACTCTCTCTCCTTTTCTCTCTCTTTCATTCTTGTTTTTCCTTTATATTTTCTTCTTATAGTTTTCATATATTTTATGCCTTTTTTATTTTTATTTACTTTCTTAAACGTTTCTCCATTTCTTTCTTCCATTCTTTCTCACATTTCTCTCATTAACTTTCTTTCTTTCTTTCTTTCTTTCTTTTTCTGTTCCTTTCCTTCTTTTTCTTTTTCTTTTCTGTTCCTTCTTTTTGTTGTTCTTTCTTCTTTTCTTCTCTCTTTTGTCTATCATTCATTCATTCTTTATTTATTTATTTATTTATTCCTTTTGCTCTTTCTTTCTGTCTCTCGCATTTTTATTTATTTATTCATCATTTCACCCCGCGCTCAGCGATGAAGCCACTAAAACGTACGGCTTTACTTACATTGAATGAATAAAGAGAAAACATTACTGAGACGAAAGGACAAAAAAAAAACATTATCATTCAACGAGACGGAAGATGAAGATTGACGTTGCATTGAAATTTTGACAGGAAGGCAAAAAAAAGGGTTTCTTGAGTAAAAAGTTCATGAGAAGAAACTATTAACATAGAACCTACGGTAACAGCTGAGGATTTCAACATGTTTCCAATTACGTAGTACGCTTAAATTTGTGAATTTGAGATATCAAAGTGAATTGTTCATCAGACATTTATAGAAAAGGTACAGCTACGGAAAGTGATTGAGAAAGCGCGATGCCAGGTAAAGACCGATAACATTGCAGATTCTTCTTTGGATTTTATCAAGAATCTCTAAATACATAGCAGAAGCACCAGACCAGATGTGGCAGCAATATTCAATGCATGCATAAATGGTAGACTTACAAACCCCAATATTGAAATCTGTTAATAAAAATGATCTAGCTTTATTAGCAGCAGATCTTGCAATCGATTCAATGTAATCATTACACTTCCTGTCAATGAAAAACGTTAAACAGAAAAGATGCAATGAGTTCATCTCCTGGAGGTTAGTATCAGCCATGTTGATGGAAAGCAAAAATAAAAAGAATCTCGAAGACGATTAAAAGGAAGTAGTTTCGGTTTGGAATCGTTAAATCTAATAAGCCATTTCTTGCCCCCGTTAACAAAAGATTGATTTTTTTTTCTTTTTCTTTTTTCCACAATTTCTTTTTCTTTCTTTTTTTTTTCACTTTTTTCATTTTCTTTTTCATTATTATCATTTCCGTCTTTGTTGTTTGTTTCTTTTTCTAATCTTTTCTTTCTTTTTCCTTTCACTCTTTCTCGGGCTTTCTTTCATTTCTTCTCTCCGTTCGTCTTTTCTTAATCGGAAGCTGTCTTTCTCGCGCGCTTTTCACCTTTTCCGCCATTTCTTTTCTTCTTTATTTTTCCATGACTTCCGATTCTCCGTTTTTCTTACCAGAGTTGACTGATTTTGTCTAGCGGCATATCAACACCTCTATGGGTTATTTAATGCCGAAATCTAAATATTTTGAAAGCAATTGCAAGCATTCATCTACAAATAAAATGTATTGTTGGTAATTCGACTATAAAAATATATTTTATGTTTTCTTAGTGTTTTGTTTTTGTTTGTGGCTCACTATTTACCCATAGCTGGGACCCTAACAGATGCTGCCACCCAGGGTCAGATTGGACCTGGAAAGAACAGCAATTTAGAGGTGGTTACACCCTCCTCAAAATCTCAAATCTCTCAGTCAGGACTAATTTTTCTTCTCAGCAGCCATTTTTTTTCTTTTTTTAGCACTTTTTCCTGTTTTCTACTTTAATTTTCATTCTTTCTTTAAAGATGTATTTTTTCTCAATTATCATGTCGTGCCCTTTTTCTCTCTCCTAAATTTCGTCGGGTTAGACGTACGTTGCCTTCATTTTCTTTATTTTATATTCAGCTAAATATACTGTTTTGTTATGTTGTGGAGTAGCTGAAAACCCCCACAATATGGACTGGTCTAAGACTATTTAAGCAGCACTCTTACTGAGGGAGATAAGTTAACGATTAATCTTTACTCTGCTTGTCGACTCTCTGCAGTCTCGTCTGGACAGGTAGATAGCTACCCAATCCTGTCTATGCGAGGTCTACGGGGAATTTTACCCCGAGCGTACGCTCGGTAAATCCCATGGTAATAAACGGCCTGGTACCATATGCCACCTTGTGGGGAGGTCTCGAGAAAATACGGAGGAGTTAGCTATTTATTACATTAGTCTCTGTTCTCAACCATGTACCATATTATTCTCTGGAATAAACGATTTATTTTCTGTGTCAACCTTTCCTATTTATGACACAAGATTTGGAGACGACGGTGTAATGCCAAATGTTGTGCCGTAAATAGGAAAAGCAGACACACATACAGGACGTAAGAAGTAGTTTATTCCGGAGATAATAAGGTACACGCTTGAAAACCCAGTCACACAACACATACAGACACATAACACATAATAAATTTAAGTATTAACTCCTCTCCCTCAGAAAGAAAGAGCGCTGTTTAAATAGTCTTAGACCAGTACATCTTGTGAGGGTGTTCAGCTACTCCACAACATGTTATGTATGGATTACTGGTTTTCTTGTTTTCAAATTCATTATCTTCTTTTTGGGGGGTACTTCTCGGCTATTTTTCTAATCATTTCACCCCAAGTAAAACGATAATGCCACTAGCACTCTCGGAGAGAAATAGACAAAGATTTTAGAGACGAGAAAGGACAATATAAAACAAAAGCCACGAAAGAAGAAGATTACGATTGACATTGCATTTAATTGTTGGATATTGTAGTTGGCATGGAAGCAAGAAACAGGAAAGGAGTTCCATAGGCGAAAAGTGCGAGAAAAGAGTATTATAATTGAATTTACGACTACTAGTAATTCAACTATAAAAACAGCGAGACTTAACAGTCAGTTTAGTAGTATGCTTAAATATATGTCGTCAGGGTACCAAGTGGGTGGAGCTCAATAGAACAATTGTCATGAAAATATTTATACAAAATACAGAAGGAATCTACTTCACGGCGGTGGGAAAGTGGCTGAAGTCGAGATGCTATGTCAGGACCGATAACATTACAGACCATTCTTTGGATTTTTTTCCGAGAATCTCGAGATAAGTAAGAATACTTGTTGCAGAGTGATTTCACAGTGGAGGCTTGTATTCGTACTAAGTCGGTCCTAAAATAGGTTCGACGTACAAAACGTTAGGAACTTCCTGTAATAGGTATGACACAGAGTAATCTAGTTGTGGTCGCTGATACTTTAGTATCCGACTAACGGTCGTCCGGCATCGACTGACTGGCCGACCCACTCAGCCGACGGTATTTAGTCGCCCCTCCCCCCAAGGGCATCATGTGGCACAAGGCCGGTTTAACGTGGGATCTCCGAGCCCGTGGACTCGGCGAAAAATATGCCCATTTGAACCCGTATTGGTTTACCTGCCCGAAAGAGACGCCGAATGACAGACTTCTAAGTATTTTTCAGTTTCAGAATTCATTCTTTGAATTGTTATTTCCATTCTTATTTTCATTCGTTCTATTTTTTCATTCTTTCCTAACTTTTCTTCTTGTTTTCTCATCTCTTTCTTTCTTACGCTTATCCTTCTTTTTTTGTTTTCGTCTCCTTCCACCATTTTGATTTTTTTTTATTTCTCTTTCTATGTTCCCCTCTATTTTTCTTTCTCTCTTTTTTATTAGATGCAATTTGTCTCTCTTTATCCAACTTGCCTTTCTTTTCTTTTACTTTTAATGACAATTCGTCTTTCTTTTTTTTTTTCTCTCTCTCTCTCGCTTTCCTTCTTTCTTTCACTCTTTTTTTTCCTTTGCCGCTTTCGTTTTCCTTCGCTTTCTCTCATTCCCAAATTTTATTTTTCTCTGCCTCTCTCTCTTTATTGTTATCTATCTTTCTTTTCCTTTTTCTCTCTCTCACTTTCAAGCTTTCAATTTTTCTACGTCTCTTTCTAACAGCTTTCCCCTTCTCAATGTCTCTTTTTTATCTTTCTCTCTTTCTCGTTTTTTCTTTTTCTTTTTTCTTCTTTCTCACCTTCTAGTTTACTACTTCTCTCTTACTCTCTCTCTCTCTCTCTCTCTCTCTCTTGCTATCTTTTTCATTCCCTTTTTATCTTTCTCTCTTTTATCATTCTCTTACTCTGCCTTATTTTCTCTCTCTTGCTTGCTTTCTTTCTTCCTATTTCTCGCTTTTTAGTTTCCTACTTCTCTCTTAATCTTTCTCTCTATCTATCTTTTTCCTTCCCTTTTCCTCTTTCTCTCTTTGAATCTTTCTCTTTCTCTCTTTTTTAGTTCTCTCTTTCTCTTTTTCTCTCTCTTTTTCTCTTTTCGTCTTAATTTCTATCTTTACTTTTCCCTCTCTTTCTCTCTTTCTCTTTCTATCTCTTTCACTTTCTCCATTTCTTTCATTTTTTCCTTCTTTCTTTCTTTATCAGATCGTTTTTTCTTTCTTTTTTGCTCAACTCTTTCTTTCTTTCTATCTTTCTTTCTTTCTTTCTTTCTTTACCAGCTTGTTTTTTCTTTCATTTTCCCTCTTTCTTTCTTTCTTTCTTTCTTTCTTTCTTTCTTTCTTTCTTAGCTCTCCTCGGCCTGTTCACCTTTCTTTCTTTCTTTCTTTCTTTCTTTCTTTCTTTCTTTCTTTTATTCTTTCTTTCTTTCTTTATCAGCTCGTTTTTTCTTTCTTTTTTGCTCAACTCTTTCTTTCTTTCTTTCTTTCTTTCTTTCTTTCTTTCTTTACCAGCTTGTTCTTTCTTTTTTCTCCCACTTTCTTTCTTTCTTTCTTTCTTAGCTCATCTCGACCTGTTCATCTTTCTTTCTTTCTTTCTTTCTTTCTTAGCTCTCCTCGGCCTGTTCACCTTTCTTTCTTTCTTTCTTTCTTTCTTTCTTTCTTTCTTTCTTTCTTGCTTGTTCTTTCTTTCTTTACATTTGTTATTCACCAGACTTACGGAATTCATTTTCCATCTTATTTAAACAAAAAAACAAAAAAAAACTAAACAACCACTTTTCTATTTATAGATTTCTTTATATTCCTTTTATTTTTTATTTCTTTATTTTTTTATTCTTTTCATTTGTTTATTTTTTATTTATTTTTTTATAGATTTATAATTTATAGATATTTATGGGTGGATAGATAGATATAAGCATATGAACTGAAGGATATAGATATATATATAGATAGATAGATTACGTAACTCCTTTTCCATCTTATTTTGTCTATAAAAAAAAAAACACAAAACAACCACTCTCTCAATTTATAGATTTTTTTATTTCTTTATTTTTTACTTCTTTATTTTTTATTTCTTTATTTTTATTTATTTTATCTTTATTTTTTATATATTTATATATTATAGATAGATAGATAGATAGATAGATAGATATGTACATATGAACTGAATGATATAGATATATATATATATACAGATAGATTACGTAACTCCTTTTCCATCTTATTTTGTCTGTATAAAAACAAAACAACCTCCCTGTTTATTTTTTTGTGTTCTTTGCTCGATTCTCTTTTCGTCCTTTCTCCATCTTTTGCTTTAAACGACTCCATCTTTCAATACATATATTCTTGTTGCTGCATCTTCTATTCAACGAGATGAGATTTGTCGTTTCCTTAGCAACCGTAACTTAAGAAGCGTTGCAAAAGACGTCAGCAGAAAAGAATATAAGTAAAGAGCAGAAAATTTTACATATTTTTTTTCCGGTCGGAGAATAGCAGAGTTTTTTTTTTCTTGCCTACTTTAAAATCATTGTACTTTCTTTTGGCGAAAAAAAAAAGTAAATATAATTAAACTTCATAAAGAGAAAGAATGAATTACGTCATCATGTAATATTGGCTGATGTTTTTGTATAGACGAAAATATTCAGGCATAATTACATTATTAATGAGAGTGTATGTATATACAGGTAGGTCCATATATACATATATCGTAAATAAACATACAAGTATAGGTAGCATTTAATATCGACATAAACGAAACATTGGATAATTTTTAGATATATATAAAGACGAGAAAAGAAAACATTTTAGGAGTACAAGAATAACATAATTAAAATAACAAAACAAAACTACCTTGAAAATGCTTAACTTAACATGTATATACATAACAATATATATGTATATATATATGATGGACTCTCCCATTCGGTGTCGACGTATGATGATCTGACAACGAATTCATTCAGTTATGAATTTTGTGCGATTTAGTATATATATATATATATATATATATATATATATATATATATATATATATATATATATATATTAATTTCATTATGTAAACGTAAGGCTCAAATTATAACTGTTATAATATCCAGAAATAATATTTAAAAAAAGTTGAATTGGTCATACACACATACATAGCTAGCTAGCTAGCTAGCTAGCTAGATAGATAGATAGATAGATAGATAGATAGATATGAACAGACTGAGATAGATAGATAGATAGATAGATAGATAGATAGATAGATAGATAGATAGATATGAACAGACTGAGATAGATAGATAGATAGATAGATAGATAGATAGATATGAACAGAATGAGAAATAGATAGATAGATATGAACAGACTGAGATAGATAGATAGATAGATAGATAGATAGATAGATAGATAGATAGATAGATATGAACAGATAGATAGATAGATAGATAGATAGATAGATAGATATGAACAGACTGAGATAGATATGAACAGACTGAGATAGATATGAACAGACTGAGATAGATAAGATAGATAGATAGATAGATAGATAGATAGATAGATAGATAGATAGATATGAACAGACTGAGATAGATAGATAGATAAAGTCGTTGTTGCGTAAACGTCTTCATCGTCTCTTGCTATATATATACATATGACTATAACATTGATGTCTTGAAATAAACTCCTGCCCTTATGTAGACTGTGCTGAGATATGCATTATTTTTTTCTCTCTCTTTATCCCACTGCTTTTCATATATACGGTCTGGCAAGTCTGTGTAAGTAACGATAAGTAATGCACGTTAACAATTTTCAGTCTGCCCTCACCAATGAATATTTGAAATGTTGAGTGGGTGACCCCGCGCGTCGATCCTCCATAGCTGTCAGCGTTTAGCAGCTGGGAGACCCGGTGGCGGACATTTTGACAATGCATAATGGATTTTGTAGCCTTTCCATCGTGCCCCACTCGACCTTTGATCTATGACCCACGCTGACCTGATGTAGTCACACAAACTTTCAACATGTATATCTCTGTCTTTCTATGTGGAGGGCGTTTCATATCTGATCAAAAAAGTATTTCTTTTGAAATTCTAAAGAGATAGTTTCCATTTCCTTCTTCTTCTTCTTCTTCTTCTTCTTCTTCTTCTTCTTCTTCTTTGTGTCGTTGTCATTCATGGTTCTCCACAACATCCTATCCTTTGTAGCGATGTGAGAAACAAATAGGAAACATTTATAAATTTAGCACGTTTCGATTTTATTTAGGCTTCATCAGAATTTTGGCGGAAATGAATTATGGAAGTTTTCTCACTATTTACATTATTCGGACAATTGTCCCCATCTTTGTCGCCATGTTTATCACAACGTTTCGGCCGTTGTACGCTCCGGCCTTTTTCAGGTGGTTAGAATGTTGAATTGTACCTTTTATTTTGCTCACTGGAGTAGACTGTTCTAGTTCCACGTGCCATGTCTAATGGATGTCAGTTAGCTCCTGTTAATTCCCCTCTCAAAGTTCTTCACTGCCTTAACCGGGCATTGAACTCACACTCTTTGGGTCCTGTCATTGGATCTAACTAACGCCTTTATCCACTGTGCCATGTCTCCTTGAAGAAGGCCGGAACGTACAACGGCTGAAACGTTGTAATAAATATGGCAACAAAGATGAGGACAATAGTCCGAAATAATGTAAATAGTGTACATAATACCTCATCTCAGAAACATAGACAGATACTGAAGGGTCGAAACGTTGTAATAAATATGGCAACAGAGATGAGGACAATAGTCCGAATAATGTAAATAGTGTACATAATACCTCATCTCAGAAATATAGACAGATACTTAGAGTTTTCTGTTATTTGTTTTTCATTGGTTAGGAATGACCGCATAAACACCCCCCTCCCCAAATATATAAACAAACCCTACTGATGCATGCTGGGATCTCTTCCTAGCTACTAAGATAGTTCACATCTGCGTCTCGTCTGCCATATTTCTTTTCTTTCTTGTCTTGTAGTCAGAATGTTGAAATCGTTTATCTGTTGCCTTTTGCGTGTTAATACCATTCTTATTTTATGAACTTTTTTGCTTCATAACTGTTGCTTTAACTGATTTTCTTTTGCATAGATTATTTGCTTCGTATTAATTTTACCCTGTTCTTTTCTCTCTTTTCTTATTGTTTATTTGAAACTTTGTCAATTCTGCCAATTACATTTGGATATAGCCTGTTACTCTACAAGGTGGACTTTACAACCTTTTTTTGTTATTTGTGGTGTTGTTATGCATACAAAACATCAACCAACCAACACACTTACCGACGCAACCAATCACCGCAAAACCAACTAGAAATATCCACATTGTCGGCCCACTACCACCATCTAGAATTAAACATATGGACACGTTTAGTCAGTCACAAAAATGCCCACTCGACTCCAGACTCACACACACACATATACGCATATACACACACACACACACACACACACACATATATATATATGTGAACACATACACTAACACCACGAGAAAAACAACACGTGGTCTACCTGAACAATGAATAACAATCAACAGAGAAACCAAATTATCGAAACTCTCTCCCATAAAATATTTACAAAACATCTATTGACGCTCCTTAAAGTTTCCTATTCGTTCTTTACTCTCTCACACGCACGCACACACACACACATATATATATATATATATATATATATATATATATATATATATATATATATATATATATATATATATATAACATATGGTCTAAAATTCATTACTTTCAGGACAACATCTACATTCTTAAGTTCGCTATTCCTTCCATGCCATGACAATCATCATTTGATCTCTGGTCAGGCACTGACCTCGACCAAAAATTATCTTCCATACTATATATATATATATGTGTGTGTGTGTGTGTGTGTGTGTGTGTGTGTGTGTGTGTGTGTGTGTGAAGAAATATAGTTTTAAGGTGTGCTATATTTATGGGATAAAGTGCTTAATATCAGAGATAGAGCGTATGGAAATATAAAAATATATATATATATATATATATATATATATATATATATATATATATATAGTAAGGTAATGAACAGTTTGGTAATCCGTATGTATAATTCCAAAGATGATGTAATCCAGAGAGCTTAATGTAACAACAGAGCAAATATAAATTAAATAATTAAGAAAGTGAAAACCTTAAGGTTCCATGACTATAATTTATTTCCCTATAATATATATATATATATATATATACTTCTTTATTTATATGTAGCCTTTTATATTTTATGTGAAAAACCAATCCCTTCATTACCTTACTATATATATATATATATATATATATATATATATATATATATATATATATAGTATGAAACAGAATTTTTGGTCTAGGTCAGTACATGAATAAGGATCAGATGACAATTGTTATGGTATGGGAGGAATAAGGAACTTAAGAATGTAAATGTTGTCCTTAAAGTAATGATTGTTTTGGTAATAACTGATTCCTTAAAAACTCCAGACATGTACGACTACATATATTTGTAGAGTAAGACTGTTTCTACAACAAGGTATTGATCAACGTAATCTCCATTTTGAAACGAGTTGTCAAATCCTCTTTAGAAAATTTCGTGTTCCTTTGTGGCAGCTGTCGATGGTCTTCCATTTCGCGGTTTTTTCTTCAGCACTGCTTTCAAATTCCATGGACTTTTTCAACCACTTTTGCGCATACACGTCGCCTAATCATATAGATTTCTGAGCTTTGAGTGAATACCGGTAATAGTCCATCTTTATTTGATCATA